AAAATTAATATATATATATATATATATATATATATATATATATATAAATCGATATATCTATCTATATCTACCTAACATGTATCTCTATATCTCTCTCTCTCTCTCTCTCTCTCTCTTGTTCGTATACCACCAGTGCCACAGATTCTCTCTCTCTCACACACACACACACACACACACACACACACACGTAGACACATAATACACACATACGTACACACAACACACACACACGTACACGAACTTTTTCAATACACTCTGGACACTTGAAAATATTAATCCATTTAGAAAGTAATAATCCGACTTTTAGAATTCTATATACAATTTAGAAAGCAGTAATCCCCTATTAATCCACTTTTGAAAGTGATAATCCACTTTTAGAAATATTAACCCACTTTAATGAATAATAATCCAGTTTAAGAAGTGCTAACCCACTTCTGAAGCGCAGTCATAAATACCTTGAAACTTTGTGGCAAGACAATCTGCGAGTCAGCTAGGCTCGGCAACGCAAACATCAACCTTCCGTTGGTTCAAACACCAACTCACACTCCCAGAGATCCAAAAAACTATAGAGATGTGAAATTTGTACCTGGGATTCCAAATTATAGAAAATAGGACCATGTACGTACCACAGATCCTAAAATTATAGAGATGACAGTGTACCAGGGATCCCAAACTATGGAAAATGGGACCATGTGCCACAGATCTCAAAATTATGGACATGTGACAGTGTACAAGGGATCCCAAATTATGGGAAATGGGACCATGTACCATAGATCCCAAAATTTTATAGAGAAGTGACTGTTTCTGGGATCAAAAATTATACAAAATGGGACCATGAACCACAGATCCCAAAATTTTAGAGATGTGACAATGTACCTGGGATCCCAAATTATAGAAAATGGATCTATGTACCATAGATCCCAAAATTATAGACGTTACACTGTACTAGAAAGAGAAAACATTTACTGTATATGAAGAGAAAATAAAACACAGTATACTAGTTATGTATTATTAAACATGCGTGAACATGCAACACTGGCAATGCAATCAACACTAGTCAATACACTGAAGAAACTCACTTGGGAGACAAATGTACAGTGCCTGTGTTCTCCAGGATGGGTGGGGGATGTTGCAATTCCAAAGGTTAGGTAAATGGACCCAGTTGCAACTAATGTGACATTTTATTGTGGCAACTTTTTGCTCTCCAGAACAGCTTTGTTGAGCTGTTATGGCTTGACAAAGCTCCTGGAAAGCAAAACATTGCCGCGATAAACTGTCACATTAGTTGCATCTGTGTCCATTTACCGAACATACTGTTGGTAATTCTAACATTATTACTAGTGTCAAAGGTTCTTTGAATTGTGATGTCTGTCCACTTCTGGCAAGAGTGCTATTAAATAAATTATGGTAAATGTATTTTCTTTTTTGAGACTGAAGGTCATTTTTACCTTGGTGAATGGCAGTATTAAATATGTGAAAAAGAGGGGGACTATTTTTATTAGCTTGGGACTGAGCAAAGGGGGCATTGACCCACAAACACAGCCTTTTGATATATATGTACTTACTGTGGTAAACGGTCTTATCTTAGAGGTCGAAATACTAGCGCTATTATTATTATTTGTGTCTCCAAGTGAGGTTTCTCCAGTGATAAGCATGCCAAGCAGACAAACTGCGACCGGAGACGGAACGCACGCAAAAGATAACAGCATGCTTGGTTAGGGAGGGAGGGAGGGAGCAGTCAGCCCGAAAAGCGTCCAGTCAGCGGCAGTTTGGGTCTGAGAGGGCATTTCTTCCCCAGTGGCACCTGGAAACACGTGGGAAAAAGGAGAGGGGGAGGGGGGGAAGAGCATCGGAGGGAAGGAGTCCTTGGATTCATCCTCAGAGCATGCAACCATGCCAAAGCTAGTGTCGGGTTTCCTCCAAGTCGTCATCTCTCTCCTCCAAGGTAACAACTGCCCAATTGTTCAGAGGATCCCTCTAAAACATCGGAAATCTGAGACATTTTATGCTACCATGATTTAGTAAAGATTTAATATTACCATTATTCTTACCCATGCAACTTTTATATTGATGTAAAAGGTTAAAGGTTACTTAGAACAGGAGAAACTAGACATAGGCAAAAACTGCCAAGCGGAAATAGACACCGGCAAAAGAGAATCCTTTTCATAAAACATTTCACCCTGACTGGGCTTTATCAGCTTTGAGTTAAATGTTGTATTAAAAGTATTCTCTGCTACCAGTGTATTTCCTAGAAGCCTACTAATGTGTGTCCCTTTAGTTAACTGTCTCAAGAAAGCCCCTTGTTATCTTAAGCTGTTGTCCAATATTGCTCATTTGAGCACCCTTGGAGAACAACCAACCCCAAACCCTAAAGCAAATAAAGAAAGAAAAAAAAAAAAGGGTAGCAAGTCAGCCATCGCCAACAGAAGGTATGCTAAATGGGCAAGTTGATGCCGAAACGAATACAGAGAGAGTCGGGGAAACACGAGGCCTTTCATACCTTGGACTTCTCCCCGGTGGGCGGCTCAAAGTTCCCCTCCTCGGAACTGACGGAACTCTGCGAGGAGGATGCCCCGCTGCTCCGGCCGGTTCTCCTCTGCTCCACGCACACCACAAGCCGTTGGGGGAGGGGTGGAGGGAAGCAGGAGAGGGACAGATGAAATGAAGACCAAAAGATAGAGAAGGATGGAAAGGAAGCAAGCATTGAGGAATGATAGATGGAATGGACAGGGTGGGAACATTAGGAAAAAAAAAAAATGAACAGAAAGGAAGTTGAGGGAATGTACAGAAGGAAAAGGAGGAGAACCAGAGAGAAATTGAAGGAGAGAGAAAAGGAAAGAGTAAGGATAAGGAATGCAGGTCAATGGAGGGAGGAAGAGGAGGAGAAGGAGGAGGAGGGGGGGGAAACATGCCAGGTTAGTGTGGAAGTAAGGCAGCACCAGCAGACTCGCCCAATCAATGAGTGCGACTCCCAGCTGGTTATTGTCAAGTCAGCCATGCGTCATCACAGGCCCGTGACACTCATAACTAAACCAATCTAGCAGCCACTAGTTTAGGAATGGATGCACTCACTTCACCCAATACATCTCCACAGTTCAGAGCTTAAGAAGATACATCATATATAAGCAGCAGAAGAAAAATTCCTCAAAATTATGACACATAATGCTTTAACTGAATAAAGGATTTTACATACACTGGAGGAGCTTAACCCTGGTTGAGGTATACAGTGGAACCTGGGTTTTCTTATGCCCTAGTTTGCATGTAAAACTATAGCTATTTCTATAAAATGTATTTTTTGTTAATATTTTTGGGTGTCTGGAACGGATTAATTGGACTTGCATTATTTCTTATGGGAAATATAGCTTCAGTTTTCATACGATTCGATTTATCGTCAGACTTTTTCGAATGGATTAATCTCGAAAAGCAAGGTTCCACTGTACACAGATGTGGATCGTTAAACAATTCTGTCAACTTTCACCTTCAGTTCGATTATTTTTTTTTTAACACGGTCATTTCCCACCAAGGCAGGGTGACCCCAGAAAAGGAAAAACACTTTCACCATCACTCATTCCACGATGGCAGCATTTCTTCTTTTTACACAAATAACCCGCACATAAAAGAGAGAAGCTTACGACGACAAAGTCACACAGTGTGACTTTGTCAATGGTCCAAGTCGGACCGAAACGTCGTCGTAAGCTTCTCTCTTTTATGTGCGGGTTATTTGTGTATCGTTTCAGTCACGGTATTGTGCATTTTTTGCTATTTCTTTTTTTTTTTTTTTTTTTTTGGTCACACTGCCTCGGTGGGAGATGGCCTCTGAGTAAAAAAAAAAAAAAATAATCGAAGTGAATGTGAAGGTAACTTTATCTGTTCCTCAATATCAAACATTAATTCTGATCAGTACAACTATTTTAATATTTGTCCTCACTGAGTACAGCATACCCGGGTATAATAAAGACAATTTAAGTATACTTTTCTTGGGTCCTTCCAGTAATTCGCTATTACAAATCAATAAACAAAATTATCCAAAAATCAAATTATCAGTCAAGATTTTCACTGACTTATGAATGCAGTCCAATGTTTCAGTCAAAACATTCTATAATTAACCTCCAAACATAAAAAAAAAAAAAAAAAACTTCATAACTGCTGGAAAACTCGGTACAAATGTGGTTTACAGTGAAGTGCGTCAATCCATTCCTAATGCTTATATCAATAATAAATGTACATGGCATACACTGGCCAATAGCCACTGAAAAAAACCTTAATAAAATGTCTTCTACAATTATATTACATAAAATTCTGTATGGATTTCGTGTGTGGAAGACCGAGACATTTATCACATGTTCGTATGTACATTAAATACTTAAAAATTTTTTTTTTCACTTTTCACATACTTAAATAAACCAGAAGACACATTTTTTAAGAAGGGAAGCACTAAATCCATAGGGGTAATACAGCACCTAGAGAATGGGAGGTGATCAGATGGCTCTCTTGAACTGCAATACCCCCAATACCTCCAGGACTCAAGTCTGGCGAGCCAGACTTGTGGATCATAATCATAACCATAATTTTTAATAGGGTGGACCAGTAAGCCAGCAGAAAGCCTCGGTCAGATGACCAAAAGCTCCAGCTGTGGGTCATTATGTGACCTAGACCTGCATCAGGAAACGCTTGTCCTGCTTCCTGAAAAGCCTACCTAGCTTAACCTCATCTCCAAAATATCTCTGCCCCTGATCCAACAGAACTAACGAGTTTCACTTAACCATATTCTGCGCCATTACAAGACTTAAGGTGCTGAACACAAGATTCCAAGCTGAGGGACTGACTACCTCATCTTCAATTGTGTTCAGAGTACAGAAGGGCCCCGTATATACAGCATCTCCTTTTGGTGTTCCACGTTTTTGCTGACTTTCAATTAAACTGTTGTTCCACCTGCCAGTGACAATCACTGGCAAGTGGAACATAAATAACAAAAAGGCACAATACAGTGACTGGAACAATAGGCAAATAACCCACACATATGAGAGAGGAGCTTACAACGACGTTTCGGTCCGACTTGGATTATTTACAAAATCACACATTTTAAATGGACCGAAACGTCGTCGTAAGCTCCTCTATCCTATGTGCGGGTATTTGTGTATGGGTGGAACATAATGAACAATGACTCAATTTCAATCTAACGAAAACGTAGAAAAATGAGGAGACAATGATGTATGTGCTGTGCCCTCCTGCATAGTTCTGCCAGGCTGAGGGACAGATTACCGTCTCTACTTTCTTCAGTTTCAACACCTTCCAATACCTCTATATTAAACTGATAAAGCCACTGGTTGGAGAAACCTGTCTAATTCCTCATCCTGTACCAAACACTCTCGAACCACTGCATATGTCAGTGCTGAGCAGTGGCACAGTGAAAACCAAGGCACTACAGGGGTTCATTATAATCAAAACCAAGCACTAATCCCATAAGGATCATACAGCACTGTAGGATAGGGTGTGCTTGCTGGATTAGAGACTAGCGAGGGTGGAGAGGATAACAGAGATATAGTTAGAAAGGGCCGTGAGGAGTGCTACAGGAAGTACCATCCAAATTTGTGCATACAAGGGTTCAAAATCCAGGTAAGATGGAGCTTGATCATATCAGATAGTCAAAGGTTAAGAAGTGGGGCCAAGAGCTGAAGCTCATCTCCCACCACCCATCCCCATAAATTATTATAATCATGGGGGAGTGCTAAACTCATAAGATTATGCAGCACACATGGGAGGGGGGGGGATATGGAAGGTATTCAGGCTCAATTCAGGGAACCAGAGCACAGATCCAATTCCCTAGATCAAGAGCCCCTCACCAGCATCAAGGAACCTCCCTTGAGGGGACTGTAATGAGATTTATTACGTTTTGTCCATATACTGGGCTTTGCAAGTCCAATGAGTGGGTGAAATACAGTGGACCCCCGCTTAACGATCACCTCCCAATGCGACCAATTATGTAAGTGTATTTATGTAAGTGCGTTTGTACGTGTATGTTTGGGGTCTGAAATGGACTAATCTACTTCACAATATTCATCATGGGAACAAATTCGGTCAGTACTGGCACCTGAACATACTTCTGGAATGAAAAAATATCGTTAACCGGGGGGTCCACTGTATTGTCAATAAAAGATATCCTTACACTACATTTCTGCGCATCATCATGTTTGTATTTCATGCCACATCTTGCAGTCATTATGAACCACTTAAAGCAATGGTCCTCAACCTCCCTACACAAGTGGGCCACAATTGATGGCCACATGTGACAATGGCCGCACGATTTTGTCGATACTGCGCAATGTGGAATTCATAATTTCACAAGAGGACCACATCCATTTCCTATAAGGGCCACATGCAGTCTGTGGGCAACAGGTTGGGGATCCATGGCTTAAAGGATTTTTCTCTTATCACCACATAAATTATTACCATCAGCATTATTATGTTGGGTTCGTGGTTAGGAAGTGATAGTAACAATACGTGTAACATAAGTCTCACCTTACGAACACACTGAGAACCTTCTGCGTTGTGTATAATATTACCAAGCACAATACAGGAGTTCCCCAGCATGTTTGTTAAGTTGAAGACTTTCTGTATTATGAATATTATATACAATGCAGGACGTCCCCAATGTAAACAAACCATAACAGGGGCGGGGTTAGAACCCGTGGGTTCAAACCCTACCCGTGGTACGGTTTGTTTGCAATCGTGTCATTACGATTTCCTGAGTCCCCAATGTATTTGTAAGTTGAGGATTTCCTGTACTGTCATGAAGACAATACATTGGAATACATAGCAGAGCCTGGCCTCTCCCCTAGGTCTATCCAAGAGTGAGGGAGAGCCCTCTCAGGCTCCGATGTGCAAGGTACAAACAGGGGTCACGTGACTTAAAGCTTGGCCTGGGATCATGGCTATAAAGGGGGTTATCATAGTATATGCTCTACAGTATTATACTGTTGACACAAGTTGTGGCCACCTCACAGTACAAACTATTGTAGTTTCGCAACTATCCGCTGGTAAACAAACACTCGGCATTCAAAGCATACACAGTAAACCCTCAATATAAAGGACAATAATGTAACGGGCCTCGATAAAAAGTATTCAAATTCATATATACGCTGCATTATGCTGACCAAAATATAAAAGTTGGTCGGAATAACACAACCAGACGGCTACAAAGTGAAGAACAAGCCATCATAAACCCCAATAGTTCTAGAAATACACCGAACTATGCACTCACAATTTTTTCATATATGCTCTACAGGTCGAACTACAGTGGTCCCTCAATAATCGTCCATATGCAGCTCATAAGACTGCCATCCCCACGAGCCCTTTTAGGGCGGGGCAGATGGCAGACCAGAGGCCTAGCTTCTCCCTACGAGCCCCGTGAGGGCGGGGAATGTGGCTAGGCCTGGGGACAGTTGGTCCCAAAGATGAGGGGGTACTTGTACCTCCTTCCATGGGAGACTTAAGTCTCGAGACACTCCCCAGATAGGGAGCCAAGGCCGGGTCACCACTACTTGGAAAAGACCCGGGCCGGGAGAATACCGGCGAATAAAAAAAAAAAAAAAAAAAATCGTCCATAATCCGTTCCTGGAAGTGGGACTATTATCGAAATGGACGATTTTCGAATCAATTTTCCCCATAAGAAATAATGTAAATCCAATTAATTCGTTCCAGACACCCAGAAGTATCAACAATTTTTTTTTTACCTAAAAGATAGATTTACATGCACAAAAGAATGAACATTCAACATGACAGTTACCTTTATTGAAGGCTGTTGTTGATGAATGAAGACAGGGAGGAGGAGAGAGGGAAGAGAGGTTATTTGGAAGGGGAATCCCCCTCCATAAGGACTCTAGGGCACTAAATAAAATGTATTAATGAACATTGGTAATAGGGGTAGTTGATGAGTGGAACGGTCTGCCTAGTAGGGTGATCGAAGCTAAACATTGGGTAGTTTCAAATTTAGGTTGGATAATACCGATGAGAGGGTTGGATTTAGTCGGACCTTGCACTGAGCTTAATTGCTTGGGTAGCTTTTGTTCTGAGTGGGTTGAATTTGTGAAGGACTGGCCTAATATGGGCCAACAGGCTTATGCTGTTTCCTCTTTCCAATGTTCAAAAGCGATGGCTTTGGGTAGTTTCAAATTTAGGTTTGGATAAATACACGAGTGAAAGGGGTTGGATTTGAGTCGGACTTGCATCTGAGTTTATTGCTTGGGTAGCATTTGTTCTGTTAGTGGGTTGGATTTGTGAAGGACCGGCCTAGTATGGGCCAGCAGGCCTGTTCCAGTGTTCCTACTTTCTTAAGTTCTTATTTAACATCACACTTACCAGTAGGGTGATCGAGGCTAGGGACCTTGGGTAGCTTTAAGAAGAGATTGGACAATATACGAGTTGGAGGAGCTGAGTTTGATTTGTGTCATTGGGTACGGGAGTAAATTCTTGGGTAGCTTTGGGTGGAGGTCATTTTGATAAGGATCTGCCTTGTATGGGCCAGTAGGCCTGCAGTGTTGTTCCATTGTTATGTTCTTATTGGCTATTTGTTTGTGTGAAGGGAGGGATGGCAAGTTTATTGTTGGAGAATATGACACTAATATCAACTCTATGGCTTATTTATCTATCACAATTCAACTAATATGACATAATAAACAATATTAATAACATAGAAACATGGAATATACTCTAGAATGAATAAAATAAGTCATTATGTATGCCACGAGAGGTGTTGTGTTGTGTTGTTGTTGGGTATATAAGGGCCACTGAGCGTAAGCCGTCCATAATGGTGGTGAAGCAGCAGCTGAGTCGGCGGTGGTTTTTGTAGCCCTATATAACTCCAACAACTCTCATTTGGGACTTGCAAATGAGTGGATAGAGTTATCAGAGCTTATTTCTTGGGTAGCATTGAGGACTGGGTTGGGAAAATGTTTCGTTAGTGGGATGAATTGTAAAGGACCTGCCGAGTATGGGCCAACAGGCCTGCTGCAGTGATCCTCCTTTCTTATGTTCATCAACCACTATCACAACTGCTTCCACTCTACCACCACCATCTTTGTATTTTTCTACAAACTTTTTTCATAAATTATGTGTTTCTCACATTCTTTACCAAAGGGCTGGCTCTAGAAGCTTTCTTTGGAGCCATGGTAGCTTATTTAGCACTTGCAAGCACTAAAATCAATGGAATATTATGAAATATTTCATAGGAGCATGTGAGGGGACCATCACTCACTGGTAAACAATGGCACACTGGCTGGGAAGGAAAGGCCGAGGCAGCTCAGAGCGTGAGTATGCGACCGGGACGAAGGACTATTAGGACTATTAGCGAGTTACCGGACCATTTGCGAGCCAACATTTTGACGAAAAAAAACAGGACTATTTCCGAAATGGACGACTTTCAGGCCGGACGATTATTGAGAGACCACTGTATGTTTTTGCTTAGACGAAATTCTCATCTTTCCATGCCAATTATTACATTCATGGGGGAGCACTAAACCCATAGGGGTCCATACAGTGCAAGGGGAAATGGAAAGCATTTAGGTTCAAGGACTTTGAGCACAGATAACTCCTTAGATCAAGAATACCTCATCAACATCAAGGAACCTCCCTTGTGGTTACTACATCACTGGTATCCATCGTTTTTTTTTTTTTACAGCACATCGCACCTTTACTGCTAGCTGTGACTTGACCCCCTGCAACCACAAATAGAAGAGTACATAACCTGCACATAGGAGAAAGAAACTTATGATCAGGTTCGGTCTGGTTCGGTTCATAAACTAGTTGCACGCAGTGCGTCATTACAAACCTTGTCTTTCTTCTCCGGAGTGCGTTCCTCAGTGCCGGGCGTGTCTCGTCCACTCTCGGCCCTGTTGGCAGCATCCTTACCAGGGGCATCTTCCAGCCCAGGGATGTGAGGTGGTGGGTGAGACATGGTATGCCTCTTGGACATCTCTGGGGTCTCGCCGGTGCGTGTTCCCAACGCTAAGGAAGTACGGTGCAACGCAGAAATTTGTCAGTAATGGAAATGGGAAGTTTCTATATATTACAGCTAACAACGAGTCCAGTTGAGTAAAAATTTGACACTGCTTAAATCTGAATACTGAAGTAAGAAGATAAGTTCCACATGACAAGTAAAGCAATGTAAACAATGTATAACTGGTCTACACAGTAACAATACTGTAACACTCGTTAAGTAACTAGAGAGATAATTAACACAGGAAGATGCTAGAGTAAACTGTTTGTATGTGGAAGCAACTCTTATATTTCATGGGAAAAATAAGCAAAACAAAGTGAAACAAGTTTAGAAATAGATAAATTTTTAGCATTTTATTAAACTACTTAAATGTAACTTGGTAAAATATATGCTAGTTTTGTAACTACAATATAAACAAAATTTTAGAACTAGCTCAAGCACATTAAAAAATATCCTCAACCCAAAAAAAAAAAGATCAATTTCCAGAGAGAGAGAGGAGAGAGAGAGGGGGGGAGGAGAGAGGAGAGAGGGAGAGGAGGAAAGAGGGGGAGGGGGGGGAGAGGGGGGGGGAGAGGGAGAGGGAGAGGGGGGGGGAGAGGGAGAGGGGGGGGGGAGAGGGGAGAGGAGAGGGGGAGGAGGGAGAGGGGAGAGGGGGAGAGGGAGAGGGAAGAGGGAGAGAGAGGGGAGAGGGGAGGAGAGGGAGAGGGGGAGAGGGGAGAGAGGGAGAGGGGGAGAGGGGGAGAGGGGAGGGAGAGGGAGGAGGGGAGGGAGGGAGAGGAGAGGGGGGGGGGAGAGGGGGAGAGGGGGAGAGGGCGAGAGGGGGAGGAGGGAGAGAGGGAGGAGAGGGGGGAGAGGGGGGAGAGGGGGGGAGAGGGGGAGAGGGAGAGAGGGGGAGAGGGGAGAGGGGGAGAGGGGAGAGGGGAGAGGGAGGGGGAGAGGGGGGGAGGGGAGAGGGGGAGAGGGGAGAGAGGGGGAGAGGGAGAGAGGGGGAGAGGGGGAGAGGGGGAGAGGGGAGAGAGGGGGAGAGGGAGAGGGGGAGAGAGGGGGAGGAGAGGGGGAGAGGGAGAGGGGGAGAGGGGGAGAGGGAGAGAGGGGGAGAGGGAGAGGGGGGAGAGGGAGAGGGGGAGAGGGAGAGAGCGCGCACGGAGCGAGTCATTAACATTACGTGGCGAGAAGCTCCAACTAGGTTAATTCTACCATGTGGTCAAGATTAACACAAGCTGGGGTGTTGCAAGGCAAGGTTAGTTAGTCATAGTTTCATGAAGCCTTTAAGGTTAATTTCATTCACAATAGACAAGGATATTAGTGTAACCAAGCCAGTACTGCCATGACCCACAGGGTTAGATCTGTCCCAAGAAAACATGGCAGGGAATTAATTTAACCAACATTTAAGTGGTCTAAAAGTTAAAATAAGCTCTTATAAAGCTTCATTATATAGTGGAATTTTTTTGTAAGTGCAAAATCCTTCGTAATAAATGCTATTCAATTTTTCAAGCATTTTTTTTTTTCAATTGCACTGGCAAAAATAAATCACACTACAGTATATAAAATAATTTTATAAGCTAGCTTACTAATCTCTCTCAAAAGAAGGGGCATACTATTAACTAATTTAGAGAGAACAATGTATTTTGGTTTGTCGAACACCATTACCAAGTCATGATGATGGTCGAGGACGAGCTGAAATATTTTGGCTCATCAAACACCATTACCAAGTCGTGATGAATGTCGAGGACAAGCTGAAATATTTTGGTTCGTTGAACACCATTACCAAGTCGTAATGATGGTCAAGGACGAGCTGAAATATTTCAGTTCGTCAAACACCATTACCAAGTCATGAGAATGGTCGAGGACAAACTGAAAAGTAGTCCAAAATTTCCTCTCCAAATAGTAGGTTAATAGTAAATTGTTGCAGCCACATTGTGACTTAACCTTCAGGAGGTGGGAAGGGGAGGTTACGTTCAGAGCGCTGAGTACCAGATGAAGCTACAGTTACGTCTCAACTTTCACCAGTGAAGCATTAATGTTAATGTATTAAAAGTTTTTTAGTTTTGTTCTTAGCAGACAGCCGCAAGAGATTACTGTACTCGGGATTAAGCTGGCACCACGGCTCTACGGCATCAAACACTATGGAAAAATATCGTATGTCGTTAGTATTGGGACTCGGTTCCAACTAAGACTTTCATTATAATGTACTGCTACAATCAAATTACTCTCCAATGAATTTCTGCTAAAAAAAATCCTACATTAAACTAAAATCTACATATTAAAATTTTCTTATTTCTTACTACTATACAGATTTGCAGAATTGCCACAACCAATTGAAATTTTCTACCCTAAGAGATCTACTGTACAAGACAATCCAAACTTCATACACATCTCTGATCAATTCACTATAAACCCACTAGTGGAAGAGTGAACTTCGGACAATGACATCTAACATTACCTCTTCAAACTGAGTTGATAGTGAATTGTTCCAGTAATGGTACTGTAAGTCTACACAAAACACCTCTGTGAATCCAAAATACTGAGTATCATGTCTAATTTTATAAAAAAAAATAGGATATGGGTAATATGGGTAACAGATTTGACATTTATATATATATACACACGCTCTGACATATATAACTGATGGGCACAAAACTACATACAACATTCAAAGATCAATAACACATTTGATCTCAATACCTGGGACAGTCAAATGAGGAATTACAGTAATACTAAGACGTTTAAAAGGACACACATTTAGGTGTGCCACCTTCAACTGACCGGGTCTTACCTTCTGGACATAAATCAGTGACACAACTGATTGCTTTTGGCCAACAATGGTCAATTCAGCTTTGGGGTACAAAAGCCAATGCTTACTTAAAAATTACAAGTACAGTGGTGAAGTATTATAGGAACTTATACCACTTGTGTAACAAGTACTTATAAAATACTCTTAAGTGGCAGCACACTTTAAAAATGAAAGCAACAGAGGAAGTGATATAAAGTATCAGTACAGTGGACCCCCGGTTAACGAACTTTTTTCATTCCAGTAGTATATTCAGGTGCCAGTACTGACCGAATTTGTTCCCATAAGGAATACTGTGAAGTAGATTAGTCCATTTCAGACCCCCAAACATACACGTACAAACGCACTTACATAAGTACACTTACATAATTGGTCGCATTTGGAGGTGATCGTTAAGCGGGGGTCCACTGTATAGCCAGCTGAACAAATTCTCTGGGGTTAGAGAATTATGTAGTATGTAGTTCTTGAGGATTAACTGTAAGGTCAACTGTGCGTAAACTGGTGGTGTTATTATACTGATACTAAGGTGTCGGAAAGATGTGTCTGCACTCACCGAGACGCTGAAGGAAACATAGATAAATGGTTCGGAGAACCATTAAACTGATAAATTAGGCATGTTCAACATTTTGGTATCTTTATTGTGGAAATGTTTCATCACACAGTAGCTTCATCAGTCCTATACAAATAAGAAAGGTGAAGATCAGAAGGAGTTTAAGGTAATCAGTCCCACAGCCTGAAGTTGATGTAATCAGTCCATCAATCAAGACTGATGGACTGATTGCATCAACTTCAGGGTGAGGGACTGATTACCTCATACACTTTCCAATCTTCACCATTCTTCTTTGTATAGGACTGATGAAGCTACTGTGTGGCAAAATCTTTCCACAATAAAGATATCCAATTGTTGAACAGGTGTCTAATTTATGAACATAGGGAAATTCTTCACTCCTAACTAAAGCTACTAATGGCGAGACACTTTCTTAACCCTTTCAGGGTTTTTGACGTACTAGTACGGCTTACGACCCAGGGTTTTTGACGTACTAGTACGCCTAAATTCTAGTGCCCTCAAATCAAGTGAGAGAAAGCTGGCAGGCCTACATATGAAAGAATGGGTCTACACATATTATTATTATTATTATAATCAAGGGGGAAGCGCTAAAGGGTCTACACATAGACCCATTGTGTGCACAGTATAAAAAAAAACCTGCAGCACACAGTGTGTAATGAGAAAAAAAAAACTTTGACAGTGTTTTCGAATTAAGACAGCAACTTTGCACTGTATTTTCGTATGGTATTTATTGTTGTTTTCTAGTTTTCCTGGTCTTATTTTATAGAATGGAAGACATACTACAGAAATTGAGACAATTCTGACTGGTATTACAAAGAAAACTACCTTGAAATTGCGCTCAAAGTAGCAGAAATGTTTGATTTTTACCAAAGTTCCAAAGTAAACAAATAATGCCAAGCGTCCAATACACGTCAACTGGTGAGTCTAATATTCTTTCACAAGTGCGCCAATATTATTTATACCATTTCTACACTAATGCAGTAGTCTGCATAACAGTAAATCTTCTATTTTTTTTTTTGAGAGAATAAAAATTCAAAGCGGAAAGCAAAAGAATGTAAGAGGGGCATTGGGACGTGACTAATGAACAGAGGAAATGTTATTTTAGTCCCAGGAATGTCTTTCTTGTTTATTCTGGACCCTATTCGGAAATTGGCATCTTTTGAAATTTGTGAGAAATGGGCAAAATTGCTAAATTCTGACCACTGTATTGGATAGTTGAAATCGGTAAATGGGTGGTTTCTTGTACTCATTCGATAGAAGAAATGGAGTTCTAGCAAAATAGGTATGATTTTTGTCGACAAGTACACTGGAATTGGCAGAAAATAGGGCTCAGAGTGGGCAAAATCGCCGATGCATAAACATCGTTGAGACCGCTAACTTCGCGAGAGCATAATTCCGTAAGTTTTCCATCAAATTTCATACTTCTGGTGTCATTATGATCGGGGAAAGATTCTCTATCTTTTCATAAGATTTTTTTTTTTTTTTTTGAAATTTGGCCGACCCCAAGAACAATTCTCCGAGAGGGCCTGTCGACCCTGAAAGGGTTAATAAAGGACACGACTGGTGTGTGCGTATTGTTTACCTGTGCATCAACTGTAGGGTTTCCAGAATATGTCACAGGAAGTGGAAAGTCTGACGTCTTTTGGAAATATTTGCTGAAGTGCATAACTGTCAATGTTTCTCTATGGGAAAGTGGAGAATGTTTCCTGCATAAGCCGTAAGTGTCGTAACAGGCAACCAAAATGCCGCCACCAAGGGGCTAGAAACACCTCTTGAATAAATTACTAAATTTAAAAAGAAGAAAGTTTATTAAAGTTTTTTCTCTTTTTTGGGTCACACTGCCTTGGTGGGAGACAGCAAGTGCTAATAAAAAAAATTGTCACTTAGTAAAAATTTAATTGCCATGATAATTTTTTCTGGACTCAAAGTGTTCAGTTGGCAATAGTGAACATTTTTATTAAAATCATAACCAAGCACTAAACCCATAAAGGTCGTAATAGTGAAGAAAACACGGCAGAACACACCGTTAATGGAAGTGTTTCCGACAACACAGAACTGATCAAGTTAGTGACCGACACAGCGTGTTTTTCTTCAAGATTTTCTATTAAAACAAACATAACAATGTGTTAGATTTGACAGCGTAATGTTTGTCACAAGATTAAAAAATATTACGATAAAAGTTACTGAATTTTCCTCAAAAAATAAGGAAAACTTAAGTATTGTTTTGACAGTAGCTGTAACATACATAGTTGATGTTCAAGCACTTTTGAATTATTTGAAGAGTTACTCAAGAATTATAAAACACAGAATTATTAAAATTATTATAATTGAGGAGTGCACTAATTGAAAAAACAACGGTGTGTGCCGATATTTTTTTTTCCCCTAACAAACCAGCCATATCCCACTAAGGCAGGGTGACCTAAAAGGAAAAACTTAAATTTTTCTTTTTAAATTTAGCAAGTTGTACAGAAAGAGTTACTAGCCCCTTGCTTCTGTACTTCACTATTAATTTAATAGTACAGTGGAACCTCAAATATCGAACTTTCTTCGGTCCAGAAGGCTGTTCAAGTGCCTTTACCGAATGAATTTATTCCCATCAGGAATAATATAAATTAGATTAGTCCATTTCAGACCCTCAAAAATACACTTATAAAAGCACTTACAAAAATACACTTACATAATTGGTCGTGTTGGGAGCAGTTCGATTTTTGAGGTTCCACTGTAATTATTAATAATTATTTGAATCGAAACTAAACACTAAACCTGCTGATACTTTGCGATGCTTCAACTGTTGATCTCAACTTGAAGATATACTGCCACCCAATCCTACATCAGCATTTATAGCCAGAATCGCAAGGGAGAGACGCCGTCACTGATCTTGCCACGACCCGCATCAGGTCGGGTGAGGCCTGGGTGGGGGAGGGATTAGGGAATTGGCCATGCATTAAGCCCGAGTGGCACCCAAGCCCGTTACCATTGAAGCTGCAGGAATCAATATATGGAATGTCTTGCACTAGGTCAGAAGCATGGTTATGGAGGTCCAACCAAGTACCACATGCATGACTACCTGTGTGTAGGGGTGGCCCCTGCGACAGGTTGCTAGCATTCTTTTGGGCTGCAATATGACAGCAGGAGTTAAAACGGGCACTTCACATTTGACAGCAACAGCTCCAGCCAACCTTATTGTACTAGCTAAACCCTTCAAGGAAGGGCAGTGCCTTGATTATTCTACTAACTAAGCCCTTCAAGGAAGGGCAGTGCCTTGATAATTCTACTAGCTAACCCCTTCTAGGGAAGTGCCTTAATGCTACTGAAAAGATCTTGACACAAGAAACTGTAGCTACACTCCCTTTCCTTGTATCAAACTTGATTACTTTCCATTCCCCGGGCACTATCATCCCTACAGGTTTAGCACATCCCCATGAATATTACTACACTAAGGTCTCTTAGAAAGCTCCTTCATGTAGTGTACTTTTTAAAATGCAACTGAAAAAAGTTCAACCAAAAGTGAATAGCACAAAAAGGATCCACATAATGTGCTTTACAATTTTGGATGCACTTTCAATTGCAATATTCTATTATTATTATTATTATTATTATAATCAAGAGGGAAGCACTAAACCCATAGGAGCAATATTCTATAGGTGGTTCTCAACTTACGATGGTGTTACGTTCTGACAAACCCACTGTAAGTCGAAAATATCCCAAGTCAAACCATCGTAAGTCGACGAGCACCTGTGATAAACATTAGTTTTGCCTTGAGTCCTACTGACAGGACATCCTGGGGCATGGAGGATGCTCAGTCTGGGACCTAAACCTGGCAGAACAAGTCTGGGACCTAAATAATCAGCTCTGTATAATTAATAAGCAACCACACCTCTACTAAGTCATCCTGGCAGAGGTATGTAGCTTGTATCTTACAAACCAAAACCCTCATCATTGTCAACAGAGCTATGGTACATCTTGTACCCCTTAGTCTGTTATGGAAAATATATACGTAATAGGAAAATTGAATTGATCCATCACATATGTATTCATTGAATAACTAGTGGATAAAAAATGTATATATTTAAATGCAAATACAGAAGCATAACAATGGAACACTGCAATCTCTGACTACCACATTGTCAAGGCAAACAACAAACAAACAGTGCAGGTTAAGTCAACTTAAACATGCTTACATACAACTCACAATGCATCACTTAACGCAGGGATTAGTACACTTGCGGCAACTATAATAATTTGACTCTTATCCACAAATGCCAGTTAAATCTTTTCACAAGTTTTAGGCCATCCTTGATCATCCATCCACACCTAGATAATGGACCAGGAAGACCCAAAATATTTTCTAAAGATTTACTGTATTTTCAACTTGTGGGATAGGTGTGGGTCCTTCCTGCCACGGTATTGTAACTTGTATTCTTCTATAACTATTTGGAATAATGAAATTAAATCTATGCCAATGTACTATTTAAACCTCCCTGTAGGTGCGACACCCTAAGCTGTAGTCTGTAGAACACCCTCTCCCCCCCTACGATTACCTCAGACTGGGGATTTAACACCACAATATCCCAAGCTGCATCCAGCATGAGTGTGACCCCAAGAAGATTACCTCAGTCTAAGGATCTAACAGCACAATACCTCACGATGCATCCAGCAGGACAGTGACCCCAAGAAGATTACCTCAGTCTGAGGATCTAACAGCACAATACCTCACGATGCATCCAGCAGGACAGTGACCCCAAGAAGATTACCTCAGTCTGAGGATCTAACAGCACAATACCTCACGATGCATCCAGCAGGACAGTGACCCCAAGAAGATTACCTCAGTCTGAGGATCTAACAGCACAATACCTCACGATGCATCCAGCAGGACAGTGACCCCAAGAAGATTACCTCAGTCTGAGGATCTAACAGCACAATACCTCACGATGTATCCAGCAGGACAGTGACCCCAAGGAGATTACCTCAGTCTGAGGATCTAACAGCACAATGTCTTCTGGTGCAAACACAGTTGTGCTCCATCAATGTTGCTTGTCAAGAGGAGAATTAGCTCGTGTGTTAAGGCCTAGACAAAGAGCAACCACCACTATAACACTAAACTTGGCAAGAAATTCAAATGTTGCACCATGCTGGGAGTTCTCTAGTCAAGAATTAACCTGTAAACGGTCAGGCAGATCTACGTTCACGTGTAGTGCTCCAAAAGTAGATCTACGTTTTTTTACACATTTTCAAATGTAAAAAAAAAAAAAGATCTACTTTTTTACGTACTTTCAAATGTTGAAAAAACGTATAAATATGTTTGGACTGTTTACGGGTTAATAATGGTGTGAATTTACCAGAAGACCATCTAGGTTCCTTTCTAAATTTTGGAAAGGAAACTCTATATGAAATAGAATACTAATAAATAGATTAGCAAACACTACAGATGGCATACTATATCATAGAGTAGATTAGCAAGACTGAAAGCTGCCGAGCAGGCAAAACGTCTTGCAACTACGATAATAAACTGTCATACGTCATTACTAATCTACTCCCATTCCAATTGTGAACTGCAAGACTGTACACACACACTACACATTTATTACATTACCGATGTATGTAATAATATTAGTATTTTGTTAACACACTGGCCATATCCTACCAAGGTAGGGTGACCTAAAAAGAATATTAGAGAAATAGCAACTATAAAGCCACTGGATGACAAAATGTCTACAAGTAAAGATACCCAGACGTTCCACAATGTCTTATTCTTCATCGAGAAAAATATATAAAGAAAATATAAATGAATACTAGATGTAAGAATAATTTTGAAGGATTTATTTGCCTTCTTACATTTTTGTGAAATAAAAAATTCACGAAATGTGGAAATGTAAGGAAATTTGCCGAAGTGCAAAGCGTTCACCAAACTTCTCTTTCACACTCACGTAGCAGAATAGTACGATAGTACTTTCCTGACTGACCATTGTCTGCCGACGTACTATGATAGTACCACCTTGAGGGTTGGATACTGTCTACCACCCTTCTACCTAGCCTACAAAGTGGATGTAAATAAATGAGGTCCCTTGCTAATTGTCCATTAACATCTACTATTTCTTCCCATGCCAGCATTATTTTGGGGAAAAAAAAAAAACTACCTGTTTAAGGCTTATAGGCAAGATTAGAATGCTCTGGCAAGGTGCAAGGTGATCAAACCTTAGGGTTAGTCTAGAAGAAAGTCTGACTGAAAAAAAAAAAGATTAAGTCTTTTTCCTAGTAGAAGAAATCTGCAAAGTTAGAATTCTTGAATGAAGACACTGCCTACCAGGGGCTTTTATTACTCCAATGACTGATAAAGTCCCAGGGGCTTTTATCAAACTAATGACTCAAAGCCCCTGAAATGCAAAATGTGTCTCAATTAAGTTTCTTAACATTGCAAATGTGTCATACTTACACATCTGGTGGTATAAGATACCTTTTCTGATATCACAAAATGCAAATAACCTGCACACAGGAGAACGAAACGTGTGACAACGTTTCGGAAACGTCGCCATTAAGTTTCAATCTCCCATGTGGGGGTTATTCTTCCAGTCACGGCACTGTGCCTTTTTATTCTTCACCACAAGAAATATTAAGACATACCACTGACAGTGTACTTGAGGTAAAAGAAATAAAACACAGAAAAACATCAAAGACGATTTTTAAAGGAGTGAAGTTATGCAGTTCAAGTGTCTCACACATCAGTTTTCAGGGGCTATTTACTCAACCTAGTTTCCCATGCCTGAGAACAGGTAGAATACAAGATAAACACTGAAATAAATCTCTGACAGTCTGAAAGAAACACAGACACACTTGGAACACATCCATCAAGAAAGGTGTTGAGATTAATAGGACAGGAAAATTAATGCAACGAGATGGTTTCCAAAAATGGTGATGCAGAATTATTCTGAAATCAATGATTAAATGCATAAAAAAAAAAAGGAAATACATAACTTATTAAACAGATGACATGCACAATGCTCCTGAAGAGGAACGATGATGATTAATAGGTAACAGGGACGGCATTCAGTGGATAAAATGGAAGGCGAATGAAAAACAAAAAAAAAAATATTATGAACGAGAAGGAAATAGAATTGAGAGATTTTTAGAAGCCTTTAAACCAAATGGTACTGTATTTTACGGCATCAAAGATGCTATTTATTCTCCTAAAATAATTCTCAAAAATTTACCCAGCGTCTGGAGGCCAAAGTACCGTTCATCTTTTATTTCTAAAATTTTGTCTATCAGAATTAGGTGGGCATCCTGGAACCGAAGCGTCCTGTTCGCCATAAAATACGGTAAATACATACAAACAGACGCAAGAACACCACACTTAAAGCTAACAAAAACTACAGTAAACCTTTGATAAAACAGACTTCTGAAATGAGATAAAATCTACTGGATAAATTGTATTTTCAACATTTTTCTTTTCAGTGTTTATTGCAGTATCTATAATTGTGTACAGTACAGTGGACCCCCGGTTAACGATCACCTCCAAATGCGACCAATTATGTAAGTGTATTTATGTAAGTGCGTTTGTACGTGTATGTTTGGGGGTCTGAAATGGACTAATCTACTTCACAATATTCCTTATGGGAACAAATTCGGTCAGTACTGGCACCTGAACATACTTCTGGAGTGAAAAAATATCGTTAACCGGGGGTCCACTGTACTACATTATGTACAGCACTTTAGTACTCTTCCTGATACCTGAACATTCTCCCCCTACTCATTAGCCTCCTATTATTCTCATTTAAGACACTCCCCCCCCCACCAATTAGTCTCCCATTATTCTCACTTAAGACATGCCCCCCTCCATAGTCTCTTATATCAAGGGTTTACTGTACATGAACAAACACAATATACACGTTATGGATACACTACACTAGATAACAATGGGTTACGATAACAAAATACCAAAAAACAACAATCAATTCACAATCTATTAATGTAACAACAGTCCAAAACTGGATTCAACAAAACACAAAAGCCTTGATATATCAGAAAAAAAAAAACTGGCAAATAATGGTGATTCAGCTCTGCACCACCCCAAAGAAAGCCCTAACCTAGCAAACTGTAATCATCGTATTATTGACT